GTGAGAGAGTGAGAGAGTGTGAGAGTGTGAGAGAGTGTGAGAGAGAGAGTGAGAGAGTGAGAGAGTGTGAGAGTGTGAGAGTGTGAGAGTGAGAGAGTGTGAGAGAGTGTGAGAGAGAGAGTGAGAGAGAGTGAGAGAGTGAGAGAGTGTGAGAGTGTGAGTGTGTGAGAGTGAGTGTGAGAGAGTGTGAGAGGGTGAGTGTGAGAGTGAGTGTGAGAGAGTGAGTGAGTGTGAGAGAGTGTGAGAGTGTGAGTGTGAGAGTGTGAGAGTGTGAGTGTGAGAGTGTGTGTGAGAGTGTGAGAGTGTGAGTGTGTGAGAGTGTGAGAGTGAGTGTGAGAGAGTGTGAGAGTGAGTGTGTGAGTGTGAGAGTGTGTGAGTGTGAGTGTGAGAGAGAGAGAGTGTGAGAGTGTGTGAGTGTGAGAGTGTGAGAGTGTGAGTGTGTGAGAGTGTGAGAGTGAGTGTGAGAGAGTGTGAGAGTGAGTGTGTGAGTGTGAGAGTGTGAGAGTGTGTGAGTGTGAGAGTGTGTGAGTGTGAGAGTGTGTGAGTGTGAGAGAGAGAGAGTGTGAGTGTGTGAGAGAGTGTGAGTGTGAGAGTGAGTGTGAGAGTGTGTGAGTGTGAGAGAGAGAGAGAGAGTGTGAGTGTGAGAGTGTGTGAGTGTGAGTGTGTGAGTGTGTGAGTGTGAGAATGTGTGAGTGTGAGAGTGTGAGTGTGTGAGAGTGTGTGAGTGTGTGAGTGTGAGTGTGAGAGTGTGAGTGTGTGAGTGTGAGAGAGAGAGAGTGAGAGTGTGTGAGTGTGAGAGAGAGAAAGTGTGAGTGTGTGAGTGTGAGAGTGTGAGTGTGAGAGTGTGAGTGTGTGAGTGTGAGAGAGAGAGAGTGAGAGTGTGTGAGTGTGAGAGAGAGAGAGTGTGAGTGTGTGAGTGTGAGATCCGCATCTTCGTGATGTCGCCCGGCACGGAGGGGTCAGAGGTGAGCGAGAGGGGGGGGGGTGGGGGGTGGGGGGGTGAGAGGGGAGAGAAGGGAGAGTGTGAGAGAGTGTGAGGGAGTGAGAGTGTGAGTGTGAGAGTGTGTGGGAGTGTGTGAGAGTGTGTGGGAGTGTGAGAGAGTGTGAGGGAGTGTGAGGGAGTGTGAGAGAGTGTGAGGGAGAGTGTGTTAGTGTGAGTGTGAGAGTTTGAGGGAGTGTGTGTTAGTGTGAGTGTGAGTGAGTGTGTGAGAGTGTGTGTGCGTGAGAGAGAGTGTGTGAGAGTGAGAGAGTGAGTGTGTGTGTGAGTGTGTGAGAGTGTGTGAGAGTGAGAGTGTGTGAGAGAGTGAGAGAGTGAGTGTGAGTGTGTGTGGGAGTGAGAGAGAGTGAGGGAGTGGGTGAGAGAGTGTGAGGGAGTGTGTGTTAGTGTGAGTGTTTGTGAGTGTGAGTGAGTGTGAGTGAGTGTGTGAGAGTGTGTGAGTGTGAGAGTGTATGAGTGTGTGAGAGTGAGAGTGTGTGAGAGAGTGTGTGAGTGTGTGAGAGTGAGAGAGTGAGCGTGTGTGAGAGTGAGGGTGTATGAGTGTGTGTGAGAGTGTGTGAGTGTGTGAGAGTGAGGGTGTATGAGTGTGTGTGAGAGTGTGTGAGTGTGTGAGCGAGTGTGTGAGTGTGTGAGAGTGAGAGTGTGTGCACGTGAGAGAGTGTGTGCGTGTGAGAGAGAGTGTGTGAGTGTGTGAGAGAGAGTGTGTGAGTGTGTGTGAGTGTGTGAGAGAGTGTGTGCGTGTGTGAGAGAGTGTGTGCGTGTGAGAGAGAGTGTGTGAGTGTGTGAGAGAGAGTGTGTGAGTGTGTGAGAGAGAGTGTGTGAGTGTGTGGGAGTGAGAGTGTGTGCGCGTGAGAGAGAAAAACTGCCTGCAAATCCCTGATCGCAGCAGGGCAGCAGCCACAGCAACACCGCCCCCTCATGTGACAACCCCGTAGGACCCTCCCGCTACACTCAGAATGTTCATGCTCTCTCAAACCATCTTCTTTCTGTCACCAGCTAATGCCCGCCGAGTCATATAGAGCTCTTCCTCAGAACCCATCACAAATGTCAGCTCTCACGAAGTGGCTTTTCATCATCATCATCATCAGCGTCATCATCGCGTGGAAATTTTACCGTAGCCGGATACTCTCTAAACGCTTGGTGACGTTGATTGTAAATGTGGGGGGGGGAGGGGAACCGGAGGACCCGGAGAACAATCCACGTGACCACGGGGAGAGAGCTACAGAGGCAGACTCCAAATGCAGGGTCGGGTGGCGCTTCAAAAAAAATGTGAACACTTTGGAGAATTCGCAACCAACGCCACACGAAACGTCCTGGAGACCACCTGGAGGAGATTCCAGGCCACGCGGTGGCAACGATGGCGAACACGTGGAGGCTCTTTGACTTTTTGAAGCTGTCCTCCAGTGCATTATTGCTATCATCCGTTTCATTTTCCCAAATTGGGTAAACGTTTTTTGTTGTTGTTGAAGCACCCTGTGTACGGCAAGCAGGCGTCAGCGTCGGCACGGAAGCCTCGCGAATGATCGCCGCGTCTCTCCCGCCGCGCTCCCACAATGCATCAGTGGGACGACACGGACGCGGCTCCAGGGGGCGGCTCGGACGCATCGCTGGCTCCTCCCGCCCCGACGCCGGCGTCCCCCGAGAGGAGTCCCCGGGCCGCGGCCACTGCGGCCGCCGTGGACGGGGCCACGCTGGCGGCCCCTTGGCCGAGGCCGGCGGGGACGCGGGCGCACAAGCGCTCGGGGTCCGACGTGCCGAGCGCCGCTCGCGCCGCCTCGTCGCCCGCGTGCAGCCGCCGCTCGGAGGGGGAGTGCATCGTGCGCGTCAGCCTGGAGAGGGCCAACGGCAACCTCTACAAGAGCGTGCTGGTGAGACGCGGCGACGGTGACGTGGTGACGTGGTGACGTGGTGACGTGGTGACGTGGTGACGTGGTGACGTGGTGCGCAATGACGGTGACGTGACGGTGACGTGACGGTGACGTGGTGCGCAGTGACGGTGACGTGACGGTGACGTGACAGTGACGTGGTGCGCAGTGACGGTGACGTGACGGTGACACGCCGTGACGGTGACACGCCGTGACACGCCGTGACACGCCGTGACACGCCGTGACGTTGACACGCCGTGACACGCTGTGACACGCCGTGACACCGTGACACGCCGTGACACGCCATGACACGCCGTGACGGTGACACGCCGTGACAGTGACACGCCGTGACGGTGACACGCCGTGACACGCCGTGACACGCCGTGACACGCCGTGACACACCGTGACACGCCGTGACACGCCGTGACACGCCGTGACGGTGACACGCCGTGAGAGTGACACGCCGTGACGGTGACATGCCGTGACACGCCGTGACACGCCGTGACACACCGTGACACGCCGTGACACGCCGTGACACGCCGTGACGGTGACACGCCGTGAGAGTGACACGCCGTGACGGTGACACGCCGTGACACGCCGTGACACGCCGTGACACGCCGTGACACACCGTGACACGCCGTGACACGCCGTGACACGCCGTGACGGTGACACGCCGTGAGAGTGACACGCCGTGACGGTGACACGCCGTGACACGCCGTGACACGCCGTGACACGCCGTGACACACCGTGACACGCCGTGACACGCCGTGACACGCCGTGACGGTGACACGCCGTGACGGTGACACGCCGTGAGAGTGACACGCCGTGACGGTGACACGCCGTGACGGTGACACGCCGTGACACTTTCCCCTCTGTCCTCTCTCAGCTGACGAGCCAGGACAAGACGCCGGTGGCCATCCGCAAGGCCATGACCAAGCACAACATGGAGGCCGAGAATCCGGATGACTTCCTGCTCGTGCAGGTCATCGGCGAGGGCAAAGGTCAGAGGGCAACGCTCGCCACGATCGTTTATCGAGCGTCCCACTGTTGTATCTTTATTCATTTGTACATATTTTTTTTTTAAGAACATTTTCCACAATTTTATCTCGATTGTGCGTTTGGCATTATATTTATTATTCTTTTAAAATCACATTTGCTGAGCACAGGCCCAAAGGCCCAAAAACGCCAAGTGGCCAGCAACTACCAGCATCAATGGAAGTGCAATCTGCCCAGATGGCTCAGTGGTAGAGCGAGCGGCTCGCAGACCACCTGACCCAGATATCTCACAAACTACCTGATCCAGGCATCTCACAAACCACCTGACCCAGACATCTCACAAACCACCTGACCCAAACATCTCACAAACCACCTGACCCAAACATCTCACAAACCACCTGACCCAGATATCTCACAAACCACCTGACCCAGACATCTCACAAACCACCTGACCCAGACATCTCACAAACCACCTGACCCAGACATCTCACAAACCACCTGACCCAAACATCTCACAAACCACCTGACCCAGACATCTCACAAACCACCTGACCAAAACATCTCACAAACCACCTGACCCAGACATCTCACAAACCACCTGACCCAAACATCTCACAAACCACCTGACCCAGACATCTCACAAACCACCTGACCCAAGGATCTCACAAACCACCTGACCCAGACATCTCACAAACCACCTGACCCAAGCTTCTCACAAACCACCTGACCCAAACATCTCACAAACCACCTGACCCAAACATCTCACAAACCACCTGACCCAAACATCTCACAAACCACTTGACCCAAACATCTCGCAAACCACCTGACCCAAACATCTCACAAACCACCTGACCCAAACATCTCACAAACCACCTGACCCAAACATTTCACAAACCACCTGACCCAGACATCTCACAAACCACCTGACCCAAGGATCTCACAAACCACCTGACCCAGACATCTCACAAACCACCTGACCCAGACATCTCACAAACCACCTGACCCAGACATCTCACAAACCACCTGACCCAAACATCTCACAAACCACCTGACCCAGACATCTCACAAACCACCTGACACAGATATCTCACAAACCACCTGACCCAGACATCTCACAAACCACCTGACCGAAACATCTCACAAACCACCTGACCCAAACATCTCACAAACCATCTGACCCAGACATCTCACAAACCACCTGACCCAGACATCTCACAAACCACCTGACCCAGACATCTCACAAACCACCTGACCCAGACATCTCACAAACCACCTGACCCAAACATCTCACAAACCACCTGACCCAAACATCTCACAAACCACCTGACCCAGACATCTCACAAACCACCTGACCCAGACATCTCACAAACCACCTGACCCAGACATCTCACAAACCACCTGACCCAAACATCTCACAAACCACCTGACCCAAACATCTCACAAACCACCTGACCCAAACATCTCACAACCACCTGACCCAGACATCTCACAAACCACCTGACCCAAACATCTCACAAACCACCTGACCCAAACATCTCACAAACCACCTGACCCAAGTATCTTACAAACCACCTGACCCAAGGATCTCACAAACCACCTGACCCAGACATCTCACAAACCACCTGACCCAGACATCTCACAAACCACCTGACCCAGACATCTCACAAACCACCTGACCCAAACATCTCACAAACCACCTGACCCAGACATCTCACAAACCACCTGACACAGATATCTCACAAACCACCTGACCCAGACATCTCACAAACCACCTGACCGAAACATCTCACAAACCACCTGACCCAAACATCTCACAAACCACCTGACCCAGACATCTCACAAACCACCTGACCCAGACATCTCACAAACCACCTGACCCAGACATCTCACAAACCACCTGACCCAGACATCTCACAAACCACCTGACCCAAACATCTCACAAACCACCTGACCCAAACATCTCACAAACTTCCTGACCCAGACATCTCACAAACCACCTGACCCAGACATCTCACAAACCACCTGACCCAGACATCTCACAAACCACCTGACCCAGACATCTCACAAACCACCTGACCCAGACATCTCACAAACCACCTGACCCAAACATCTCACAAACCACCTGACCCAAACATCTCACAAACCACCTGACCCAAACATCTCACAACCACCTGACCCAGACATCTCACAAACCACCTGACCCAAACATCTCACAAACCACCTGACCCAAACATCTCACAAACCACCTGACCCAAGTATCTCACAAACCACCTGACCCAAGCATCTCACAAACCACCTGACCCAGACATCTCACAACCACCTGACCCAGACATCTCACAAACCACCTGACCCAGACATCTCACAAACCACCTGACCCAAACATCTCACAAACCACCTGACCCAAACATCTCACAAACCACCTGACCCAGACATCTAACAAACCACCTGACCCAAACATCTCACAAACCACCTGACCCAAACATCTCACAACCACCTGACCCAAGGATCTCACAAACTACCTGACCCAGACATCTCACAAACCACCTGACCCAAACATCTCACAAACCACCTTGCCCAACATCAAGGAGGAATCACAAACCTCCTATTAGTGTCTCTGTATTTTTTAAAGCATCCGTGTGCATTAGCTCTGTCCGTGCGTCTGTCTCTAGCCAGATTATTTAGATTATTTTGCTGCTATTAATATCCACGTGACTTGCCAACTTTGTCGAGCTATCGTTTGTGGCCAGGTCTCTTGTGAAACATAAGTTGATGCCTCAGTGGTCTTTTCCTGGTAAGATAAAAAAAAAACTAGTTGTATTTGCTATATCTTTAAGTGATTTATTTACCTTTCCTATTGTGTTTGTCGCATTGTTTGTTGTTGTAACGTTCTTACCCCGTGCTTCCTACTGGACATCTGTGAAAAAGAGCTTCAAAGCTCATTGCATTCCTCCTGCAGTAGAAATAAAACATCATGATTCTGAATACGTGAGCTATCCAAAAGCACAGCTTCACCGAATTCCATGGAACAGCAAAGTGTCGCTTTGCAATCGCCCGTGTGCTCACCTCCCACGCTGGGTCACCCGTGCCTGGGTGCCTTCCACCACCACCCCCACCACCACCCCCACCACCACCACCCTCTCTCTGCCGTGCAGAGTTTGCGATCCCGGACGGCTCCAACGTCTACTACGCCATGGTCACCTCGCCCAGCTACAACTTCATCCTGCGCAAGCGCTCCTCGGGGGGCCGACGGGGGGGGGCACCCTCCTCGCGACCCGACCACTCCACCTCCTCCTCCTCATCCACCTCCTCATCCACCTCCTCCGCCGCCGCCGCCGCCGCGACCCCACGGGCCCACGCCAGCGCCCGCGCCGCGCTGGCCGAGACGTTCTCGCGCCTCACGCTCTGAGCGGCCGCCCCGGCTGCCGCCAGCAGCAGCAGCAGCAGCGTCGGTTCTTTCTGTTTTAATCCACGGGCACAAGACGGAGCCACGCCGGTTTCCGGCCCGGCTCGGCCCGGCAGACGGCCGAGCGGAAGACCGCCTCGTCGTAGCGCGAGGTGGGGGGGGGACACCCGCTCGCCGGCTGGTGCTCGCCGGCTGGTGCTCGCTTGTGGCGGCACGAGCAGCGGTGGCCGGTGGGGACGGTGGGGACGGTGGCCGGTGGTGGCGGTGGCCGGTGGGGATGGTGGCCGGTGGGGACGGTGGCCGGTGGGGACGGTGGCCGGTGGGGACGGTGGGGACGGTGGCCGGTGGGGACGGTGGCCGGTGGTGACGGTGGCCGGTGGGGACGGTGGGGACGGCGACGGTGGCCGGTGGGGACTGTTCCACCTTGGGACCGTAACGAGGAGGGAAGAATCGCCGGCGTCCAACGCGGCGGCGGCGACGGCGGCGACGACGGCGGCGACGACGGCGGTCTCGCCGCGACGGGGACCGAGCGGGGGGCTGTGATAGCCCCGCCCCGCTGCGCCGAGGGCTGTGTGGGGGGGGGGCGCGGGCAACGTTCGCCCGGTTTTGCTCAGCCCCTTAAAGCGACGAAACTTTACACGGAAAGTTTCGTCCGGGTCGCACCGTCTTGACGAGCGTTATCGTCAATCCCTCCCACCCCCCCGCGCCTCCAACCCCCCCCCCCCCCCCCCCCCACCACCCCTCCGGCCCCGCCGTTACAGACAGACGGGCAGAGCCACAGGGAAAAAAACGTTCTCAACCTCGTTTGGGAAAGCCTTAACATAAACAAAAAGTGTCGGTGACCCGCGGGCGTCTGCGATTGGTGGTTCGAGGTCACATGACGCCAGTGTGCCGATTGGCCTCTCGGCCTGGGCCCCCTTGCGCGTATCGGCGTCGCCTTACGATTGTATATATATATCGATCTACATCTATATTTTTTAACCGCGCAACATCTTCTGCGCTCGCCACGGAGCCTAGAGACCTCCTCTATTTTTACACTTTTCTAGCCGGACGTGGACCGACCGCGGAGGGGGGTCACTGGCCGGAGAACCCGCGATGGCCGTCAGATCCACCGGGATGCGGGGGGGGGTGGCTGTGGGGCCGGGCCTTCGTTTACAAAGCGTGCCTGCGCTCGGCCGGCACACCACATCCAGGATACCTCTCTCGCGGCGCCTGCGGTTATTGGTCACGTGCTCCTGTCTGGGGGTGGGGGTGCCTGCCGCTACTGTCTACCGGCGACGCGGACGATGTGTCCAGCGCCCGGCGTGCCGCCTCTCTCGCCGCGGCCGTGGTTTTATTTTTTTTTTACTCACCGCCGGCTTGCCAGCAGCTTCTCGGCTCTGCCGGCCGCACAGAAACACGGTCGGGGAGAGAAATCGGTGATCGGTATTAGGTGAAGCAAGGCCTTTTCAACAAAATGTAAATTTTTTATATATATATAAACAAAATGAAGATACCTCCTTCCCCTCTGCGTCACCTCGTCCGACGCCGGGGGTTCTGTATTTTGTACGGAGATCACTAAAATCGGTGTCTTTTTTTTTGCTTTTTTTAACGGGGGCTGTTGTGGTTTTCGGACGGCACACTCTCCCGGTGAAGATTCGGTGGCCCAGCCGTGGCCCAGCGGTGGCCCAGCGGTGGCCCAGCGGTGGCCCAGCGGTGGCCCAGCGGTGGCCCAGCGGTGGCCCAGCGGTGGCCCAGCGGTGGCCCAGCGGTGGCCCAGCGGTTCTAATCCGGCTGGCCACTCTGGTTAACACCGCGGTGTGCGTGCACGCGTGCGTGCGTGCGTGCGTGTGTGTGTTTTGACGGTAAAAATAACAACATGACGCGGCCATCCAATTTTACTCGCAGCGGACGCTAAAAGATACCAGCGGCGTCGTTCGCAAGAGCCAGTGGGCCGCTGTGTTGCCAAATTTTCGTCGCAAAATTGACACCGCACGTCGCTCAAATCGGAATCGTGCGCGGCAACCATCGCCCCCCCCCATCCCCCCCCCCCCCAGCTGCGCAAAAACTTCGCAGGACCCTCGTGACCAAAGGGTCACGTGACCCGGTGACGTTTCCCTGGGTGCAAACAGGGGCCGTGATCATTATCATATGGTTATCTTAATGAAACAATGACGTGGCCTTTTGCGCTGAACGCAAACATTCCCTCCCTCCCTCCCGGTGTCGGGTAAGAGACGCATCGCGGGCTGACCTCAAGAGACTCGCCGTCCGGTCTGCCCCTCGTTTCATAACTGACCGGCCCTGCGTGAATTGACCCAAGTATATAAATATAAATATATATGTATGTAATCACGTCTACGCCGGCCCACTTTGCGATTGGGAGATGAAACATTTAAATGAAAATAATCTAAATCGCGCGGCGCGTGCGATGGCGTTGTTGTTAAACTTTGGGAATTGAAAATTGGGGTGGCGGTTGGGGGGGAGGTGGGAATTTTAATCAAAATAATCTCGATTTTTTTTAAAAAACGCCTTTTCTTGAAGCCAAGGAGCCCCCCACCCCCCCCCCCCCCCCGCCTGTACGTAGCGTTATTATCCTCCCCGTTATTAGTTAACTTTTTTTAGCCTTGCAATTCAATTAGTCGTCAGATTCACCTGCAACAAATGCCTTTTTGTAAAAGTCAGCGCAGTTTTCTCTTGTTCACCTGACGTGAGCCCCGGGACGTGCGGGCGGGCGGGCGGTCGGGCAACTTTTTAAAGTTGTCTCCCTCGCTCGTAACCGTAGGGTGAGGCCGAGCAGTCGGCTCCCAGTCAGGAGGGGAGACGCCATCCACCCGTCGGGCAACAGCCCACGCGGACGGCGTCCCCCGGGCACCCGCCGCCCGGCTAGGGGACTTTCCATCGCCGCCCGCGAAACGCAGCCCCTCGGCTGATGGCCTCGTGCGTGTGCGAAGCGTGGCTGGCGTGCACGCGCGCGAAGAGCGAATGTACGACGTCGTCGGTTTGTTTGTTGCCGTGCGGAGAGAGACGTCGTCATCGTCGTCAGCGTCATCGTCATCGTCGTCATCGTCGTCATCGTCGTCATCGTCATCGTTGTTGTCATCGTCGTCATCGTCGTCATCGTCGTCGTGGTTGGGCGACACCTTTTTTTGACGCGGTAACTTCGCCCGCGTTTCTGTCGCCCGCGCGTCTCCGTGCCTTCGGTCGTTTCTCTGGGAGAATATTGGTGGGGGGGTGGGGGTAGGGGGTTGAGTGGAATGACCACCACCACCACCACCGTGCATAACAGGTGTTATAGGCTTACTGCTGCTGCTGCTGCTGGTGGGCTACGTGGTGGGCAACATAGCCGAGCGTGGCACTCGGGGCTTGCGAGCTCCCACGTCCTACGGAGGCTCCCTTCCGCAGTTACCAAACCGCAGCGACCGGCGTGGTGAAGTATGGTCAATTAACCTCCCTCTCCGCCGCGTACCCACACGAGGCACGGGGGGGGGGGGGGTTGTGCCGCTCGTTGTTTGGCAACGGTGTCCGATGTTTCGGTGGTGGTGGTGGTGGGGAGCGGTGGCGCAGCGGTTAGGTCGCTGCGCAACAAACCCGGCGACCTGGGTACGGTCCAACACGATTGTCTGAACCTGTCCTGGGCCTCCCCCTAGGTCGACTCGGCCTCAAATGAGTGCCTGGTGCGGTGTGGAGTAAACATCGCCACTGGGGAGACAAAGGCGGCCGGGCGTGATGCTGGCCCACCCACCCCCTCGTGTGCCGTGCCGGCCTTCATAGGTGCTGCTCGTTTACAGCACTTGCCCCAACAGCCTATTGAGGCTACACGGGGGATCTTTGTCTTTGTGTGTTTTTGGTGGTGGTGGTGGTGGTGGTGGTGCTGGTGTTGGTGGTGGTTGTCGTTATTGAACCGGGTTGCTGTGAAGGAGCTCCCAAGCGCGTGGTGGAGCGGGAGAGACTGAAGAAGTCGCCTCCAGGCCGCTCGCAGGCGACTGCTTGCACCTCGCAGCCAGAAGGCCGCCTGGGTTCGATTCCCAACTCGGGCCGCCTCTGCGTTGCGGAGTTTGCGTGTCCTCTCCTCCTGTCCCGCAGAGAGGTGCGCCGGTGGTTGGTGGCCGCGAGCGGGGGCAATCAAAACTCGGGTCGCCGGGGTTCGTACGAACTCGCCGCAGACGTACACACGCAGACGCATCGTACGATCGTGCACAACACTTATGCAATGGGTCGCTCCACAGAATCATCGCGTGCGCAGTGCGTCGGTATGGATGTTGTGCGTGGCATGCAGTAGACTTAGGGTATCGGCGGATCTGTGCAAAGGAGGTCGGATGAGCGAACGTTTGGAAGAGATTGACGGTGTAGCGGCACTGTGCACACCCAGGGTTCCTGTCGCGCAAAATAAAGCACCACACGTACCCAGCCTGTCGCGACGACGCGTCGCTCGCCCTCGCAAGCCGCTTGTCGCACACTGGCGCTGGCTCGGACAAATAAGCGCAAGGGCTACCGCGATTGTGATGATGGTGGTGTTGATGGTGGTGTTGATGGTGGTGTTGATGGTGGTGTTGATGGTGGTTATGATGGTGGTGGTGTTGATGGTGGTGTTGATGGTGGTGTTGATGGCGGTGTTGATGGTGGTGTTGATGGCGGTGTTGATGGTGGTGTTGATGGTGGTGTTGATGGTGGTGATGATGGTGGTGTTGATGGTGGTGTTGATGGCGGTGTTGATGGTGGTGATGATGGTGGTGTTGATGGCGGTGTTGATGGTGGTGATGATGGTGGTGTTGATGGTGGTGTTGATGGTGGTGTTGATGGTGGTGTTGATGGTGTTGTTGATGGTGGTGTTGATGGTGGTGTTGATGGTGGTGTTGATGGTGGTGTTGATGGTGGTGTTGTTGATGGTGGTGTTGTTGATGGTGGTGTTGATGGTGGTGTTGATGGCGGTGTTGATGGCGGTGTTGATGGCGGTGTTGATGGCGGTGTTGATGGTGGTGGTGATGATGGTGGTGATGATGGTGGTGTTGATGGTGGTGTTGATGGTGGTGGTGTTGTTGATGGTGGTGTTGATGGTGGTGTTGATGGTGGTGTTGATGGTGGTGATGATGGTGGTGGTGTTGATGGTGGTGTTGATGGCAGTGTTGATGGTGGTGTTGATGGCGGTGTTGATGGCGGTGTTGATGGCGGTGTTGATGGCGGTGTTGATGGCGGTGTTGATGGTGTTGTTGATGGTGGTGTTGATGGTGGTGTTGGTGTTGTTGATGGTGGTGTTGATGGT